TGACACACATTAATTATATTGTGAAACTATCATACCCCAATAGATCCATAAAAGAAATATTTTCTAAACAAACAGAAAGGGAAAGAAGCTGAGGTCAGGCAGGTCCAGCTAGTTTGGGAAGTGGAAGAGGTACATGGAGAGATATCAGCTAAAACCAAGAGTAAAAGTAAAAAGACAAAAAGAGAAAATGAAAAAGGAGTGAGGGAGAAATTACAAAGTTGATAAATGGGAAGGGTGAAAAGGATGTGACTAATGATATGAGAAGAGTTGTTTCTGGAAAAACTGACTCGTTGAACAATGATTCACACAATAAACACCTGGACGTTTGCCTTTTTTTCGTTGGATTTACTCAGAGAAACAGCTGGCTCAAGGACCCAGTCTCACTGCTGAGTTTCTTGTGATTTTATCTGTGGCACCATGTTATGACTGTTGTAAAGCCTTAAGTGCTTCTGGACTTTGTAATGCATTTGACATGGGAGACATTTTTTTTCTCCTGTGCAGTTTCAACCTGCAAGCAGTTGCTCTGTGCCTGGGAAACTTTTTCAGCCAGAGGAAAATACTGGGTATGACAGGCTCACCTCTGACTTTAAATAGTGGGGACATTCAATTAGGCATACTAGGTACCTTCCATCTGTGTATTTGTGCTTCAGGTAATACACTGCACTTCCTAGTAATTGAACTTCCAAGCAGAGACGCTAGCACTTGAAAGACAAATGCTTGACTTGTTTATAGGGATTGCACTTCTGACATCATGAGTTACTCTGCACTTGAGTTACTCTGCACTTGTCATGTGAAAGAGAACAAAAAATGTCATTGGGAATTTGTGGTTGTGAATTTGGTTCTGCCATGTGAAATCTTGCTATTTTAAAATTAGTACTTCTTGTTGAAAGTACTGCTCATTCATATCCAACTAGTACACAGTTAATCTGCATGTAGGTCACTTAAAATCAACATATTTCTGAGAAAGTTAATTTCCCTCTCCTTATTATATTTATTTAGAAATCAACAGCAACGAGTTTTAATGCTTTATTCAAAACTTGTTTTGAGCTGTGCTCTAAAGATAACTCACTGCTAGCAGACAGCTTTGAGAAAGTCTGAATCATTCTGAGTGCATGAGTGAATAGAGAACACTTGTGTTTTAAAGCATGCTGAAAGCATAGCCTAGAGGTTTTTTCCCTGGAGAAACAAACACTGATTTCGAGGGAAAAGGCCTGAAACACAAATAGAAGATCTAACTTTTCCCAGAACTGTACACCTTAGAGCTGCAATCAATTTTCAACAATTCTTTCTTTAGATACATAATTCAGAAAATAATGTACTGCACAAATAACTTAACAGTGTTCAAGAGCAATCTGACAGACTGAGGAAATTGAAAGCAGGAGTTTGAACCTGGATGAAAAGTAGCATTTCTCAAGACAATAAAATAAGCCTGTCCAAAACTTTTGCAATAAGCACTATATTAAAAAGTGAGATACAAAAAGCATAGCATTTTAAGAACAGCAATTAAAAAAAAAAACCAAAAAACTTAGGTTTTTTAAAAAAATATATTTTATTTATTATTTGTTTTACCATTGTCCTTTACAGCCCAATTGATTTCAGTTCCCTTTACTGCAGGTGTCGTAATGCAGAGACTAGTGGGGACTAGTTCCCTCGAAAGGCTGCAAACACAAAACAGACGTGAAAGATGGCACAAAAGGGAAAGGAATGATTGCATCCATTATGAGACAAGTATCTGGAAAAGGGCAGACAGACTGATTTGCCCAAATTTACTTAAACTTTTAGCAGAGCTCAGACAGAATTTAAACTTTCCAACATGAGGATTGATGAACTATTTTCTTAACTTGGCTAGGTCCTTCCCATGAAAGGATCTGCTGTGAAAACAAGCCACCTTTGTGTCCAAATTCTTGTCTTCTGAATGTGAATTGTTCCTGTGACTTAGCAAGCAGTAAACATGCTCTCCACCCAAGGCCCATGCCCCCTCCTCTCCACCTGCTCTCCTACAGAAAGGCTGTCTTTCCTCTGTGCCTCCAACTCATGCCCTGCATGTTCTTTTCTCCCAACTGAAAAAAAAATTAAATCAGAAAGAAAATCACAAAGTATGTAAAAATATGGAAGACTGTGAATTACCTTGGAGCTACCTTGCTTCCTTACTGGGCTGCTGTTTCATACCACACCTAGTCATTAGAATCAATAATTGTCCTGCAGTTAATGTTTGAGCTGCTGAATCTCTGAGGGCAAGTCTGAGGAACTATAAACTGGATAAGCACAGACAGACATCACCAACCTGTGCAAAGGTGATTCCCACAGCTGAAAGAAAGAAGCATTTTTAGAGCAAAATAAGCTTTTCATGTTACAGGTAAGGGATGATCTAACTGACATTTCACAAAAATATTTTAAAAGCTGAAGTGGGGGTTTTGCTAAAGGATTTTCAGACAGTGTTAGGAAATCAGCTGTCCCTGTAAAATGGATGACTGCTGTGCTAAGGCTTAGTCTGGTTTATATTTGATTTGGATCAATTTCCTCTGTTTTCTGTTTGCTGAATTTGAACATCTGAAATCAATCAACTAAGGAAAATAATATTTTTTTCCATGGAACCAAATACTTGTGATTGTTACTGATCTTTAATCTCTGGGAATATTCTTTGTTCTCTGAATGTTTATTATTGAAAGTCACTGGAATATTTGTATGATGGTTATCCTAGAGATTTCTCTTCAGTCATGGGAAGTGTGAGGGATTATTAGGGATATAGCACTGAGATGAAGCTAAGAAATGAAGGAGAAAATATGGCTCCAGTCCTCAACCCAGATCTCAAGCTGCTTTTAGTTAAGCTGATGCTATTCTCATCCTGAAACTGCCTGTTACTGAAAACTTTTATATGAATCTATATATACTGGAACTCTGTTCTGAGTGACAGAGGAGTATGGATTTTGGGGTTTCAGTCCTTGGCAGTGAGACGGCTCATGGGACTTGGTAACAGTTTCCACCCAAAAATAAATGTTCAAGGACTGATCAAAACTTGCAATAGGCACCATAAATGACACGACATAAGGAAACGATGTTTATGTTCAAAGAGAAGGGAACATCAAAGGCACATGGAAACTGTGAAATGGCTGAATTTCCACTGCTGCATTTGGTAGTCGGATCTGGACAGGAGAACCTGGCCATGACACAGCCACATTTAGCAATTAATTTGACAGCATTTTCTGTCCCCAAAAGTAAGGTGGGATGTTTCCCACGAAACTTTCTCCTCCCCTGGTAGGTTTTGCTCCTTCTTTTTTCCCTGAATCCAGACCATGGTACCCCAGACCATGCCATACAGTTTTTCCTCCCTTTTGATGGCCTCCCCCAGTACTTTTAGCTCCCTGGTGTTCCTCCATTGCTGGCTGGCAAAGGGGCACCTCCAGCCATACCTTCTCCAGAGCGGCATAAAAACCCGGCAGGGAGCCCCTGGGCACAGACTGCAGCCTTACAGAATGGAGAGGGTTGGCACTCTGTCCCACCTTCTGCCACAAATTAATAAGGAATTCGTTTTTTGGAGTTCCCACATGGCTACTAAGTGCAGCAGGAACAGCCAATATACTCAGAAGAGAGCGGCAGAGGGGAGGGGAGAGGTTGTACAGGCAGAGGAACTGAAAGAATTTTCATTGACTGTGTAACCGGAATATCAGCAACAGGTTTGGTTTGAAGTGTCCTTCCAGGAGGTTCAAAGCGTCTTCTCCTTCTCTCTGCCCTGCCTGTGCCACCTCCTCTGGCTCCAGGAGGTCTGTGAAGGACCCACTGAGGAGGCATCACAGCCAAGCATTTACAGGGGGCTCAATTTCAGCCCTTGTCTCCTGACAAATTTAATGATTTTTCTGATCACTTCTGGTTTCAAAAGCGCGTAGTATTATTTTCTTCCTGTACCCACACAGTTATCTCCAGCCCAAGGAAAGAGCCCAGTGTTTCAAAGGGTGTAATTGCACACACAGTATAACACAGATCAGAATGGGATTTGGAAGATAAACTCCTGTGGCATGTCCTAGAATGAGTGCTTGAGAGATCAGCAATGTGGGTAGTAGTTTCTGTATTTACAGGTCCCCTTTTTGTTCAGCCTTTGAGGAAAGAAAAGAAGCGGGGAGAAATGGCGTGATGGGAAGCACAAGCAGGAAGGCACCTGGAGGGAGCTGTGCCTCCACACTGTGCTCTCCCCATTGGGGACCTCCTTGGGACAGATCTGTGGAAGGATTCCTGCAGGTGTGAGCCATATAACATGAAGCACCACTGAAGATGGCAGCACAATATGCCAGCCTCACCTCCTTCTAGAACTGGCCCCATCCTCTTTGTAAACATCTGGAGGCAGTGAGGAAGTAGAATAGCATTTTGCAAAAGCCATCTAGTTTTCAGAAGGATGTAACATAAACTGTGGAAGTGTGTGCTCAACATTTCTTTGAAATTTGAGGCAGAGAACTCTCCTTGGACTTGGAAATTTTGTTTCCAGTAGCCATGTTGTTTTAGAGGGTGTGACGCCCTAGGCGTCCTTTGTCTCTGCAATCTGCAGGAAACAGTTGAAGTTTTGGAACCAGAAGACAGACACCTCAGGATAGTCTCTGCAAGACTTTTTGCCTGTGGTTATAGCATTTCTTGTGAACGGTTCATTGCTTTCAGTAAAGCAGAAATGAAAATGCCTTTGCAGTACGGAATTATTGTAAATGTGGTTGCACAGCTTTTCTGTGCCATGTTCAATCTTTGAGAGCTCTTTGGCAATCTCACATGTGGCATCTCTTGCACCATTAGGAAAAACCTGATGGGCACAGGCTTCCTTGGCAGCCCAGGGGTACCAGTGGTCTCGTCTCTCTTGAGCAGATCTGCAGCTGCTCCTTTGGGACCGACTCCTCAGCTCTCTCCCTGCAGCTTCAGCAAAACTCAGCTCTTGCCTTGATGTGCAAACAGACTGGGCCAGCTCTATGGGGCTAAAGTGACTGTCATCTCTTTGCAGGAGCTGAAGCAAAGCATATTCCAGTATGCTTAAGCTGTGTGGACTTCTGCTTCTCATTCACTCGGTGAGTTCCAGGTTTTCCTTTGTTTATCTGTGAGCAAACGGCAAAGGTTGCCTGCGAGCCTCTGAGCTCCAATCCATGGGGCGTGCCAGCCCGCAGGTCAGGCTGGTGCCAGCGCAGGGGCTGTAACTCTGGGTGTGTCCCCAGCACGTGCGTGACCCCCACTGCAAGTTAAGAAGACATCTCAGTCATTAGGAAAAAGAAACTTCAAAAAGCCTAGAAGGCACCAATTTACTTCTTTTCCCTCTTCTACTTCCTCTTTAGATATCACTGTTTCTAATACATGAATTTCATGCTAGAAAAGATTTAAATATACTGCAACAAATCACCAAAAAGAGTGAAAAATCAGTATAATGAATTCTGCATTATAATCTATACATGTGCTGACATATTAAATGTATTCTAAGACATATAATGGCTCATAGCTTAAACTGTGCATATTAATTATGTAACCTCATTATTTGATTTCTGTGAATCTCTTTTCAGAGGATTTTCTGGAACTGAAACGTATTAATTATGCTTTTATGGACCTTATGTATTAAATGCAATAGATTTACTGATGTTTGTAAAGGCTACAGCAGTGGTGACTTCTACTTCACAATTGAAATTAACAGAAAAGAATGAAAAAAATGCATGAAATTCAAGTTCAGTAAAAAAAAGCCTCAGAATATGGAGACCTTGACGAGTGAGCACCTCCTTTTCCCTTCCCATTCCACAAGCTGCTGTTTGTGGCAGTGCTGGCTCCCCCCCATGAAGCCACTCTGCAAGCATTATAGCCATCTTTAGAAGATATACCGATGGATATGGACCAAGATGTAAAGCCTCTTTCCCTTTCAAGCTCCTGAACAGTGATTCATGTGGTAGAAATATGTTTGGAAATATTTATGGTCCACATAAAGTACTTTTAATCGACAGAAGTGATTACTTGTTTCGCCGGCTTATCACTTACTTGTTTCACAGGCTGCACTTTGAACTTGCTGGTTTTTATAGCACCAGCCTTTGTTCCTCCATGGCAGGCAACATGATAAAGCAAAATCTGTCCATAAAATGGCCCCGGGAAAAGCTTCCAGGAGCCAGGTGTGCCAGCCTGTGTGACATGGGAGTAGCTGTAGCAGGTCAGATTCAGGGTCCTGATATCTGGCAAGGCCAGCAGTCAGCATTTAGCAAAAATATTAAAAGGTAGCTGCAAAGTGCATTTTCCTGGGTGCATAACTATCAGATTGCATTTGTTGATGTTCTTCTGCTGACACTAGTGTTCACTAGCATCCCTCCCTCTCCTTCCCCAGCTCTCTGCTTTTCCTGTTTTCAAAAGGAGTCACAAACCCTTGTAGGCGGGCGGGACAGCATCTCTGGCTATTATTAAGAACAATATGGAATTGTTGAAACACTACTTGTGACACACACAGAGAGCAGTGCTTTGGGGTGAATTGTGCTGAACTTAGCTATGTTTTTGTCATAGGCAGAATTAAGCTTTCCCTTGGTAATATGCAGACTGTGCTTTTCTATGAGAAATTGAATAGCTGTCCCAGCAGCAATAGGATAAAATCCAGAGGAAAAGTCATGCAGCAGAGAACACACACTCAGCCCTGTGGTGTGGACAGGGTGGCAATGGTACTCTAAATCTGTAAAGCATAATAAATTAATTTTTACTGTGGAATAAAAGAAACTTTACCTGTGCAGCCAAATAATGGAGCCCTTATTCTGACAGGCAGGTCCTCAGTATTGTCAAGATAGTGGTGGTGGTGGTGAAGACAGGGAATTTGGGGACTCTTGGTCTTGCCATTGAAGAAACAGGTTGATTATCTGAACCACAGTGTGACTTGTCTTGTGTGCAAGGCCTACCCTGAGAGGCTAATTTTTCTTGTTGTTGTTGTTGTTGTTTTTGTTGTTGGGAAGCAAGAACAGCCCTGAAATGTTAGGGCAGGAGTGTGGAGGTCTTTGTGCACTGGGGACTGTGTGGTTAGAAAATTCATAAAGATTTGGCAGAAAAAAACCATGATGTTAAGACATTGCTAGCCATTAGGAAGAAAACAGAGGCTGAGACAGATTTGTATGACATTTTTTGACATCAGGTAAAAGCCAAAAATTAGAAGGACACGTTTGTTCTCTCTGTGGTTTGCATTCACATACAATTGATATGAAGGCACAGGGCTCAAGTGGCTTGCCCAGATGGCTGTGGCACTGAGGGGGGTGCTGTAGGAACCCAGGGAGGGTCGCCTCATTCCCATACAAAAAAGATTTTATTTACTGGGGAAATTACAAAGGGTGCAGCCACAGCTCCTCCTCATCCCCAGGTGTGATGTTTGATTTCCAGACACACTTGTTTTCAAGGGGCTTTGTGGCTTTTGGATGGGTCATGGATGGTCCTGCTGGGGACACAGAGGAGATCTAGCAATGATTTTATGAATTCCCTTTTGCTCTTAGTCTACATTCATCTGTTTTTTTCTTCTGTTTGCTCTTGAAGGTAGATCCAATCTCATTTAATTATGTAGTGGTCAGAAAAGGGCAGGGCACAAGCTTTTGTTCTCTAATTAATTAATAAATCACACTGCTTTTAAATATTATGTACTCTGAAGAACCTGAAGATGTTCATTGCAAACGTGGAAGAGTCTCTGCCTTTACACCATAGCAAAACAGCTCAAGGAGGTTCAGGGGTGGGGAGCTGCTGTTTGTGTGTGGTGGCAGCAGACATCCCTCAGCTGCTTTCCTCCATCCCTCTCTCTCCCTCTCTCTCTCACAGGCTATGTGGCTTAGTCTGGAGGGCCTGAGTATGACTGGGCCTCTGAAGGACGTGGACTTCTCTGTTCAAGAAGGAGGGGGTCCACGCATCCTTCACCAGGTAATCAAGTGTCTCGTGTTATCCACTCTGGTCAGGAGCCCCATAGCCTGCAAACAGTGATCACATATGAAGTGTTGTCTCTGCACTGGTGGGAAGAACAGTCCCCCAAGAGAATGCAAAATTAATTATTAATTCCTTTCTCTGGGAATTCAAGGGTCTACATGCAAAGAGCAGGAGACAACCCCCTCTCAAACACATTTTTAAGAGGATATCCTAAGACAGGGATTAATAAAATCAACATTCCTGGAGAATTTCTTTCCATGTAACTTGTGTCATCATTTTCCTTTGACTCTGAGGTTTTCCTCCCAAAGCCACAACCACAGAAGGACAGATCCAGCTCCCAGGCAAATGGAGGATGTGTGTCATTTTTTTCCATTCCCATGCTTAGACAAAGCCTGCCCTAAGCAGACGTTTGCTTTGGAAACAAACTGCAGTTGGGATTTCTTGCAGCATTCAGGAAATAATGTGAAAAATCCTCTGCTGAGGATCAGAAAAGAGCAGACTTGTTTGAGCAGACTCTTGGAATATCATTCTCCCAGCCAAACACACTGTTGGGAATAGATTTTAAAAAGTCACAAAAGCATGAAATTATTTTTATTATGGTGAAAATGCTGAAAAAATTATGATTTTCCCCTCTGTTTTTGTTTTGTTTGTGTGTTTGTTTGTTTGTTTTTTTCCCATTGTAGTTCAAACTTGAGCCACCTGCTGTGAGTTTCAGAGCATCTGGTGAAAAAGGTGGAATTATTGACATTGAGCCGAGGACAGGCATCCTGTATATCAATGGGTCTCTGGACTGGGAGACCAAGCAAGTGCACAAGCTGCAGGTAAAAACTCAATGAAAAATAGGAAGGGACAAGTATTCACATTCATCCTCTTTTGGTATACCTTATAGTAGGAGAAATCTGTTGAAATTTTGAATCCTTTATTTTGCCTATGTTTACAGGCAGGTTTTTAATTTTTAATATCAAGATTTGCTGGAAGACATACGGTTTTGTAGCTCTCAAAGACTGAACAGGAAAATGCTCCTTAGCAGAGGAAGACTATATTCAGAAAACAAAAATTGTGATGCCAACACAACCCTTTAACTCTCCTAATATGGGGGGAATACTTGACTGGAAGTAAAATCCAGCCTTATGAATGAGCTTCTCTTGTCATCCCTGAAGGCTGATAGGGTGAATTCTATTTCTGGAGTGGAAAAATGAACTATTGTAATAATTTAGAAAGCTTATAATATACATGGTGACAAACTGAGATTAGCTCAGTTGGTTAGAGCATGGTGCTAATAATGCCAAGGTTTGATCCTTGTATGGACCATTCACGTCAGGGCTGGACTTGATGATCCTTGTGGGTCACTTCCAACTCGGAATATTCTGTGACTCTGTGAAAAAGTGCGAGTGAAAGACATTTAGGCAGAAAGGCACAGATCTAACCTCTGCCAAATAACAGCAGGAAGCTGTTTGGCAGATGTTGGACTCTAAGAGAAAAAAAAGTTTTTTGTGCTTGTCCCACTGTTATACCCTTTTCATGAGGATCTCACTAGTGCAAACACTGTTGAGAATGGAGTAGTGGATGGGCAGTCTCTGGGTCTCAGTATAGCCTTGTCCTCTTAAACCATGTCAAAAATGGTGCTGTCTTTTTCTGAGGCACTAGCAGCTGAGAAGGAGTTGATCATGAGAGGATCACTATCTGAACAGACAAAGTACATGACGGTTTTTCTAGCCAGCCTTAGCAGTCTTTCTAAAGTCTAGCACTTCAGGTTTCATGGTTTCACATTCTTAGCTCTAAAGGACCCTTGGATTGGAATTAGAGAGGACAATTTCCTAGCCCCGGCAGTTAATAACCCTAAGCATGTGAATCATTTATAGACAAGAAGTGATGACAGAATGAAAAAGTCATGCTTGGTTAGGCATAAATAATCATGATTTTATCTATTATGTGCAAACAAAATGAAGTGTGACAGATATATACTTGGTGATTTAAAGTTAAAGAAGGCTGGAAAACAAGTCAAATTGTGTGAAAAAAAGTCATTAGAATTAAGAATTAATTTTTATTTACTAACCCTTATATCAGACTATTTTTCTGATTTATATTTATAATAGCAATTAGTTATAAATGCTATATCATGTTGGATTTTCTGCTGAAACTGGAAGTGGGAAATTGTCCTCTGAAAGATGTCATCAGAAAATGGAGTGGGTTATTTGGTCTTGTTGGCATTATATACTGTGTCAAATTCTTGTCAGGGAGCCACAGTGGCAAATTTGTCCTTGTATGTGGAGCTACCCAATGGTGGCTCTCACCAGATTTGCATGACAGTAAAACTGACCTGGCATCTGACACCCTGATATTAATTTATGCCTTTTAACCTATCTGCATGAAAATATTTACTTGCTGTTCCTTCTTTTTTCAAATCAGGTGGAAAGTCTGGATGAGAGTGGACAGAGAGTTAAAGGTCCATATACTGTTACAATATATGTGGAGGATATCAATGACAACCCACCAGAATTTAACCAGACAAAATACTATGGAGTAGTGAGGCAGAACTCTCGTCCAGGTAATTGCCACCATAATTAAGTATTATCATTAATAGGAAGGTAGGTAAATTAAGCAGGAAGGTAAAGTCGTTGCTATACAAGCTGAAAAAAGATCCGTTTTTCTTCCCACAAGACTGTACAAAATAAGGATGAAAGCTTCTATAATATAATGAAAGGGCAAAGAGGTAGCCACTATGTGGTGTAAAGGGATGAGTGCAATCAGAAATATTTTTTATTGCTTATTCTTTGCAAGTGTCACTTAACAGAAAAATATTGCTGCTCTCTCCATTGCTCTGGAAAAAAAACCAAACAACAAAACCTTATGCTAGAAGGGGTTTAAAATTTAAATGCTACGAAAGACTATACAGAAAGAGAATTTTAAGACTATCTGAGTCTTTACGTATCAGTGAAAGAAAGTACCCCATACATATGGGGTATGTGCTTACCATGAATGATGCTTCTCAGAACATGGGCTAAACCTTAACATTTAGAAGAGAGTCTTAGATTATGAATTTCAGTGATCCAGTCCAATAGTCATGCAAGTATCAAAGAGCAGTAAGTTGAGACTTACATCTTGGAAATAAAACCAAGGACGCATACAGCTGTTATTGCTGTGCTATGGACTCAAGAAGAAATTTTGCTAAATAATATGCATATAAGCCTCCATGGGGTCAGAAAAATATTCTGAAACATATTACTGTATTCTTCAGTGCATCCAAGTAAAAAAGATTTTGAATGCTGCACTGGTGTGCAAAAGGTAGAAGCTGACATACATTACTGGGTATTTCCATATTTTTTTTTCACTGTATGATTTTTTTTTTTTTATTGTATCTGTGTTACAGGTCATGCACCACTTTATCAAGGTGCTTTGGGTTTAATTGATTTGTGTAAGAACTGCAAAGTGGCCTTAAGGAGAGATCCCAGTGAGCTGAATTCTGAATTCACAGGCACTCTTGTGTGATAGGTAGCTCTCTGTTGTTTTAACTCTGCCACCTTCTTCATCAACTGGTCACCACATCTGTTGTGATCCTCCTAAGCAGAGCTGGTGGAGGGTTGACCTGTGGGGTGGCATACAGCAGTGTAACCTCTACACATGGCTTCCCATGAGAGATGCATTATGGAACAATGGTAGCTCCCCATAAGTTGCTTTCCTGGTTTGAGAGCTCTGCTCAAGTGCATTATGTGTTAAGGTTCAGTCTCTTCTCTTACTGCTGTTTCTTCTCCAATCCAAACAGGCAAGCCCTTCATGTATGTCCATGCCACTGACCGTGATGATCCTACAACTCTCCATGCACAGCTGTCTTACAGCATTCTCCATCATTTTCCCAACCCTTACTCAGAAATGCTTTTCCAGATTGATAATGCAACTGGAGCAATCTCACCAAGCAGGAAAGGTATGTAAAAAGATACTTGATTGCAAAGAGCAAGCATGAGTTCTGGGATATGCATAGGAGCAAAAAACCAACATAGGTCTGATGCTACATTGTGAACAAATGTAGTCAATGGGACATACTCCACTAAAGCCCTAGTTTTGGGGAACTTGTGTTTTGTCCCATCAAATTCAAGGCAATGTCCCATCAAATTCAAGGGAAGCTAGCAGAAATGGAGATTGAGACCTTCACTGAGAAGAGAGATAGATCCTCTGGCCTTCAGGACTACACTGTGTCATATCTTGGAATTAATTCTCTGCCATGAAATCTAGAAACTTCAAAGCAGTAACATGAAAAATGCAGAGGAAACTCAGCTGGACATGTGATCCCAACTAAATTGCAATGATTTAGAAACACCCATCTATTCTGCTGGGCTGAACAAGTGCCTAACTGGGGCGAGGGCTGTTCAGTGATGCCTCTGCACAAAATGAGATCACAGCACAGAGGCCTCATATGATTCCATGCACATATTGCTATGCTGCATCATTCAGAGAACCCAGAGGAAGTGGCTTGCTCAGGTTTGTCCCAAAGGACCATCTAAGGAGTAAGTCTGAAGCAGTTAAAGAACCATAGTATATCTGAGAGGCAACGGGCAGATGAACAGCCCCCACAGCCTCTGTGTCATTTCTCTTGACTCTTTGCTCTGTCTCTAGGCTCTTATTACTTGGATCCTCAAAAGCAGGACACCTTCATACTTGTTGTCTCCGTGAAGGACATGGCAGGGACGACACCGAATGCTTTCACCAGCAGTGTTGATGTGATCATCACTGTGAAGGAGAGCCTGTGGAAAGCTCCCCCCATCATCTACATCAAAGAAAACTCAACCCAGGTCCACCCTGTCAACATCAGCAAGGTAGGGTCCTTGACCACACTCCTTGAACTTCTCCTTGTGCCACAATTGTTTCCTCACAACTAACTGTGAAGGTGTCACCACTACCTCCAACACCAGGTTCTTCTTTGACACCTCCCAGTCATTTTTTTAATATGGCATCCTTTGGAAATTATTGTTTGTGGAGGTCTCATTGATTTTTTGTTAGCACAAAAATTAATAGTTTGGAGGTGACTGAGATACAGTCAATACAAACACTAGAGTGATTGAACTTTGCCCTTCAGTTTGGGACCAAAATCCAGTCATGGGTCTTCCAGGCTCTGAGCAAACCAAGAGTTTTTTGGAGCTTATTTTGTGGTTAGCTTCTTCCACTTGCAGAAGAGCAGGGCAGGGCACCAGCTCCACAACAGCCCTGCTGTGGGCAGTCCCTCACACTCAGGGACAGTCACCTGCTGTGACCAGTTTTGTATCATGCAGCACAACTGCTACATCAAAAGTACCTTGAAAGGATTGAAATACCCTCCTTCACATGCTGCATTCCCAATATTCCTCTTTTAACAGTTCAAGCACAAAATATTTTGCTGATAACTGCAGACCAATAGCAGTGTATACATCAGTACATATTAACTAACAGGTCAACAGCCTTTCAGAAATATTTGACTTTGAAAAATGCCTTGGCAATGACACCCCAATGCTGTCATTCTTGAACATGGCAGGATTCCATGGATCCTGTTCACAAGAGTAACTGGCTTGGTGCTATTCTCACTGGCCTCAGTGACAGCCCAAGGGAATCCAGAATGAAAACAGGTAGAATGAAGAATAACATGTAAGGGTGCACCCATTTTGGAGTCACTTGTATATACATTTCATATAGTAGCCAATGTCATGTTGATTCTGCCTAGGGGAAAATGAAATGTAGTTGCTGCTATGTAGAACACAAATGCTAATACCGACTTTATTAACTTACCAGTCTGTGTATTTAATTTCATTTTAAATGTGCAGCACCCCAGAAAAGAGCCTTCCTCATAAGCTTTGATAATGTAAAGAGTGTGCATGCACCTATTTACAGATAGGTACCAGGTATTTGTTTTCACAGAATCACTGAATCATAGAATATGCTCTATTGGAAGAGACCCATCAGGATCATCGAGTCCAACTCCTGGCCCTGCACAGGACCCCCCAAGAGTCACACCATGTGCCTGAGAGCATTGTCCAAATGCTTCTTGAACTAATGAAGGCTTGGTGATGTGACCACTTCCCTGGGGATCCTGTTTCAGTGCCTAGCAACCCTCTGGGTGAAAAACCTTTTCATGATATCTAACACAGACCTCCCGCAACTGAGCTTCATCAAGTCCTGCCCCTGGTCAAGGAAGTGAAGAGATCAGTCTCACCCCTCTGCCTCCCCTCATGAGGATGTTGAGGTCTCCCCTCAGTCTCCTCCAGGCTGAACAAATCAAGTGTCCTCAACTGCTCCTACTAAGGCTTCCCCTGCAAATCCTTCACCATCCTCATGGCCCTCCTTTGGACACTCTCTAATAGCTTAATGTCTTTTTTATAATGTTGTGCCCAAAACTGCCCCCAGCACTCGAGGTGAGGCTGCCCCAGTGCAGAGCAGAGCAGGACAATCCCCTCCCTTGCCCGGTTGGTGATGCTGTGCCTGATGCCCCCAGGACAGGGTGGCCCTCCTGGCTGCCAGCACACTGCTGACTCACATTCAACTTTCAATGACCAGGATCCCCAGGTCCTTTCTGTGGAGCTGCTCTCCAGTCTCTCGTTCCCCATCCTATACATACAACCAGGGCTGCTCCATCCCAGGTGCAGAATCTGTCACTTTGTTAAACTTCATTGCCCATCTCTATAATTTATCAAGGTGTTTCTGCAGGGCCTCTCTGTCCTGGAGGGAGTTGGCAGCTCCTTCTAATTTAGTGCTGTTATGTTGTTCCACTTCTCTGGATTAAATAAAACAAAACAAGGCAGGAATAGAGAGTGTTAGGAGGGGAAATCATTAGTATCAAGATATTCAAATGAAAATAATTATTTTTTCTCATAATCACTATTTATCTCCATATCACCAAATCCTTTTATGAAAAGGTATGTGTTGTATCCCATCTGCACAGATGGAGAAACTGTGGTAAAGTGGCTTCAGCACACAATTCAGAGAGCCGAGGTGGATTATCAGTCTGATTTTCTGCAGTTCATCCCAAGAGCCTGCCAAACTGTTAATTTTCTGGTTTATGAAGCTAACAGGAATGTAATTGTTTCTGTTTGTGGTCCAGAAATAATCTCTGTTAAATCTCACTCTACACTTCTGACTTCCTATCCTGACTTATTTTTTGGTTTTTTTTTTTTTTTTTTTTTTTTTTTTTTTTTTTTTTTTTTTTTTTTTTTTTTTTTTTTAGGTGCAGTCAAATGAACCAGGTGTAATTTATGGCATTTTTGAAAAAGAAAAGCTGCCAAGGCTCCCATTTTCCATCAGTGAGAATGGGGATATTTATGTGACCCAACCACTGGACAGAGAAGAAAAGGATACTGTAAGTAAACACATAAAACTTCACTGATGGCAGAGAGCACAGCAGGAAGCTGATTATTGGTGTGGGAGTAAATATGAGAAAGCTCAACAGAAAGGAAGGGGGACAGAAAAGTGGAGAATAGATAAAAGTTTTGTTTCTTGTCACTTCAGTTTGGAAATGATGTGATATATGTGGAAGTTCATCCACCTATTATACTGTAAACAGCTTCAGGTTCTTACCCTAGAGTGGGTCTGGCAGTAGCAATCACTGCCCACAGCATATGTACAATGTACAGCATGGGCCAGCTATGATGGGGCTGAGTGAGAGGTAGGAGGTGGGCTGGGTGGAGTGAAGGAGATCTGGAGGTTTCAGATCTATTTCAATCCTTGGGGACCACAGATTTTAAAATCCTTTGAGAACTCAGGCCTCAGAAACTAAGGGGTGATGGAAGAGTTCTTATTTAAACAGAGGGAAAATACTGAGCAAACTCATGAGAGGATATGTCATATTCCCATAGTTACATACTAAAATGCCAAATATTGTCACAATCAAACCATCTAATTGTTATATTCTTGTTGCAGTATACATTCTTTGTGGTGTCAAAAGATAACACGGGAGAACTGGTGGACAAGCCTTTGCAAATTCACATTATTGTGGAAGATATCAATGATAATCCCCCTGTGTGCCAGCAGTTCCTCACCATAATTGAAGTTCAAGAAAATGAAAAGGGAGGTAAGAAAAGAACTTCTGTTAATTTATGCACCTCATTGTATTCCTGTTGTTTCCAGCTGTGTGTGAATGAAGCTAGAGATTCTGATCCCAAGGATTAAAACATGGTTGTCCCAGGGAAATATTTTCCTGTGCAAATAGCCCTCCTGTTTTCCCTTCAATAATTCCTGTGGAAAGGATTTCAAGAACTTGAGAAAGACAGACCCAAAACACCTACTTTTAGAATGCTTTTTTATTTAAAATATAAAACTGCATTTTCCCACAACCACAGATTTGGATAACTGTTTAGACTGCATAAAGAAAAACACCTCTTTTATTACCAATACAAGAAATACTGTTCTTAAAGTGGTATGAGCCCATTTTCCCTCATCCAGCTGCAACTCCAGCATAATGCCTCTGACTTCAATGGACCATTACCAAAATCTTCCAATGTCTTGACATCAGCAATTTGGTTTCAAGACTGAAGAGTCTGCTGTCTTTTGGACTGCCCAAACCAGTATGTTGGGATGCTAAAGCAAAAACTCCCAGAAGTGAAAAGATTGCATGTCCATTGAAGCGTTTTCCATAGAGCTTTATTTTTATTGACCCTCTACCCTTTGCACTGGTATCACTGTTGTCACTGTGTACTACTGTGGAGAAACGGGACCACTGCACTCTGTCTGACTCCCATCTCTGCTCTGCTACAGGGAGTAATATTGGCACCGTGCTTGCTACGGACATGGATGAGAAGGACAGCCTTAACTCTCGTCTGCATTTCCAAATCCAAAGTCAGGAACCTGAATTTCCCTCAAATAATCTCTTCTATATTCAGCAAGACACCGGGACTTTGCAATTAACTGGCCGTTCCTTAAGCAAACGTGATTCACCCAAGTATTTCTTGAAGGTCCTGGTGACAGATTCAAGTAAGTAACGCCTGCTGTTACACATTGGAATAACTCTGTCCACACTGGCATGACTTGTGTTCAGTGTCTAAGGGATGTGGGGAGACAAGGAGGATTTGCTGAATAGGCAGTAGCACTGAGAGCTGTCATGCTGTCTGGCATGGTACTTGTCCTGTTCTTGAGATGCAGGGAGATTAATCATGATTCATAATGCAAACATGGAAGGGAACCAGCTCTAGGACAGTGTGGCTAAATTGGGACGCTTGTTAACAAGTACTTCAGAAAGAGATTTCCTTCCACAGGGGGAAAAAAGGAAGAGATCATGAATGTGGTTTTCCCCCAGATCTTTCAAAGAGACTTAACTGAAAAAAAAAAAAAATCTAGAAATTAAACACAGCTGCTCAGACAGTCGAGATAATATTTTAAAACACTGAGAGAATATAAAGCTGAAATTAAACTTCAAAAATTATCTTGTCTCTTATATAAATTGTCATGAGTCCTTTGTGATTCACTGAATGGAAAGGAAATCAAACTTCATACCAAAGCTTAAAGCTTTGCACTGGAATCCCTACAGTCAGACAAAACGTGTGCATGAAGGAACTGGCATGGAAAGATGTCTGTAAATGAAATTGCATCATTTTGGCAGATGATGGAAAACCTTCCAGAGGGAGGAAGCTGGTGATTTGTCTTGGATGCTTATTTGAATTCCATCCAAATAATGTTGTTTAGAATTTTCCTTAACTTTCAGCTCATGAGGCATGTTTGTAAAACACTAAGAACCATTTATATATGGATATATTATGATTCTAAAGTCACAACCTGCCATTGCTATGGGTGCCACTGCTCAGGTAGTGGTTAGATTTACGTGAATCTGAAGTCTGCCTGTAACAAAACTGGGGGCGATGCCTGATGACCAAGAGGACAAGGGAGCATTAACAACCCAGGGCTTACTTTTTGACATGGAAAAGTGATACTGAGACAGCTAACACAATTCATATCACCATCCTGGTAAACAGATGTGGTTTTAAAAAGTGAAGGAAATTAAACAGGATGGGACAGTGCTGGAGAAATTGGGAAGACCAATGGTAAGATAGAGAGTGAGGTTGTCATTGACGAAGAGATATCTGAGATAAATGCTTCTCTCAACTTAGTGCTCAGATTGGGCAATCTGGCAATGCTCACTTTTGCTCACAGTGAACCCTTCTGGAGGAGAGTTATTTTTGGCAGAAAGGCTGGTGTGACATTGTTTGTCTGTTTCCATGCAGAATTTGAAACAATCTGTAATGTGGAAGTACATGTCATCGACATCAATGATCAAATTCCCATCTTTAAAAATTCAGATGTGAGTATTTTCAACACCATTTTGAATGTTCCAATAACTTTTGACAAGTGTTTGAGCGTACCTTCAATGTCTATAGGATGTCAGCAGGAAAGTAGCCATTTACAGAACAAGTAACAGAGTAACTGCTAGTAAAAATAAAGGTAAAATATTGCTGCAAGTCTGCATATAAGCTCTATCTAGACAGTGAACAATGGGACAGACTAACAGCTAATTATGAAATTTAAGGTAATTTGCTCATTGGAAAACTGTGTTCAGAAAGAAATTTTTCTATTAAAGCAGTTTATTCCAGAAATGCAAGTTCTGAAGGGAAAGGGGGAAGAAAAGGCTCTAAAATTAATCAGACAGCTAAATAGAAAAAAAGCTGGCATCTCCCAAGTCCCTTTCCAAACACAGCACTAGTGTACCCAAAACAGCCAGAAGGTGAATGGGAATCAAAAGCCCTATGTGGTTTGGTCAGAAACAGTGGTCCAGTGATCCATGCCCAAACCTGATTCCAGGATGGGTGTCAGGCTCTTGCCTTTCCTCTCGTGGAGATGCTGGCATCTGGCAGAGACGTGCAGACATTTCATGACTTCTGCCTGATGGCACAAGCCTCCTGGCAGACACTAGAGTGGCTGAAGTACTTACACAGAGGTGTCCCAGCTCCCTCCACTCCTGCAGGCCGTGTAGGTGGTGGGCTCAGGAGAGCTGTGTGGCCTGTCAGGCATAGTTGTGCTTTCAGGGAAGCTGTGCTGGTTCTTGGGCCTTGCAGGCTGCATTGCCCAGCTCTCTGTTGATGGCAATGACAGCACAGTCTCATGCAGACAAGGTGCCTGCAGAGCAGGTTTTACACCATCTCACCTCGAGGTCTCGGTCCAGGACCTGATCTCAAGGTGAGGCTTCTGGGCAAGGGCACGCATTAAAGAGTCAGAAGAGCTGAGAGTCAGAGCTGCCAGTATGGCAACAACCTATGGTGCATGAAGCAATCAAATATTTAACAATGAGTGGCCATGGCACTCACAGGGTACAGAGAAGCTGTGCTATCCCTACTGCATGTTCATGGGCTGGTTTTCACAGAGGAGCTGAAGATTTGGGACTGGTGCTGTACAAGCGGCACTGACATAGATCCCATCACCTCCGATAAACATGTGGCTAAAAAGCTTCCCTCCTTTGTGTGGCTGCTGTGGGTTAAAATATATCCATACCTGTGGGTCATAAGCTTGTTGTTGTGCTGAAGTTCTTATCCACAAATGGTATGTCATGTTTCAATGACACCTCTCTCTCTTCAGTATGGCAGTGTGACTGTGGCAGAAGATATCCCAATAGGAAGTGTGATATTAGAAATTGAAGCAACTGATGGAGATGAGCCTACCACAGGGAGCTCCATCATCATTTACCAAGTGAAGGAAGGTGATCCAAACAACACGCTCATCATAGAAACAAACTTTGCAACAAATCAAGGGCTCATCAGGATTAACAAGGTGAATAGATGGATTTTATTCTTCTTCTTTAGTGTTACTTATTTGTCATACACAGTTACTGCCCTGGTAAAGATTTATGGGGAGGGTGTTGACTGGTAGTGGGGTGGGGGCACCCTAAGCATGGCACAGACTGCAGGAGGCTCCAGTTTTGGACTCAGGCTCTGTGCCTGTGCAGTGCTCACACACACCTATGCTCCTGCCTTTGCTGTGCCCTCACCACCAGCAGCAGCTCCCTCCACTGGCTCTGCTGCTGGCTGCTCCTCCAGAAGTGCAGGTTCTGGCCAATTAAGTAGGTCTTTATGCACCATAATAACAAAAAAATGACATTGTTTGAGTGATTTTGCAGCAGCATTTCTGGACAAAAGAAAGCCAGCTAATGCTTCCATGGGCTGTGGTGGTAGTGGTGGGCTGTGACGGGGCAGATTCTCCTCCCTGCAGTTGCTCTGGCCATTAGTGGCCTTTGCAAATCAAGGTGCAAGTGTAGCCAGCATGTCCCAATGTCAGCATGGAGTCGCAGTTTGTTCCTGATGAGGAGAACATTGACTGTGACCAAGGACAGCGTGTGCTGCAGTAGGTGATACAGCCCACATGCTGAATGCTGGGGACAGGAATATAAAGAACACTTTTTGCTGCATCCATGAATTTCAATAGCAAAATTGCTCTCCCTTTGAAATTAGCCTTCTCAAAGGTGTTTGGACTATGAGTCCAGAAAACTATCACTCATTTTCCAAGGGGTGCCCTACTGTGTGCCTCCAGCTCGTGTGCTGCCACCAGGCCAAGTGCAGGCAGACGCAGCGTTTGGTGACCTGTCTTCAGCACCAGCCTCAGCCTCAGCCTCATTTTTTCCCAAGGAGGCAGTTGTGAGAAACTCTGTAGTGTAACAACCCTTGTATGACTTTTGGCACCCTGGGGTCATTTGAGGCCTTCTCATACAGAGCTATAAATACTATTTCTGTAAACAGGATATTGTCATTAAACTTAGTCGGGCAGGTGGCAACATTATTAGAAAATGCAGTTGCTGAGGAGGCCTCTAAACAGGCATATGGTTTCATTTAAATGGAACATTCCCAGTGTAATTTTCTCCTGACAGCTTTTATTTTGCCTTTATTTGGGATGCAATCTCCTCCTTGAGAAGAGAGGGACTCTTTAGTTTCTCACTGGAGCTCCCCACAGCAGCAGTGCCATTGCTTCAAGAACCTTTTTTTTTTCTAATTCATCAAGGCTCTTGATTTTGAAACAATGCCTGTGTACGACCTGGTGATCAATGCCACAAACCCCGAACCGCTGGTGGAAGGTGTGCAGTACAACTCAAGCTCTCTTACCAAGTTAAAAGTTTGGGTGACAAATGTGGATGAGCCACCTGTTTTCCGGAAGGCAGTTTATGAAACAGAAGTGTCTGAAGACATTCCTGTCAATACCTTGGTGATGACGGTGGAAGCCTATGATCCTGAAGGGGATTCTGTACGGTAAAAAAGAGTGACTGAGATTAATTAATTGAATTTAGGGTTTCAAATGTTGTTCTAAAGGACATGCAAGGAAAATACGCCCAATACTTGGCACGTGGAAAAATACTGTTTTGACAGAAGTCTTATCTCCCAGTAGAAGGTGGGCGTGTGGTGGGGGCCAGTGACCCACCTGCAGCAGACTGCTGGGTAGAACTTTTCTGACCAGATTTCTCTCTGTGCTGTGACAAACATCAGCCTTGAAACAGGAAACCACAAAGGAAGCAGGCTAATTTATATCTCCGGGAAAAGGGTAGAGTAGAGCTGGACTGAGAATAACAAGGTTCCATTCCATAATGCCTTTATCAAAAAAATGAAGCATATACCGTGTACCCCTGAACCAGCAGGAGATTAGCTGCTTTTCATGTCACACAGGAAACAACCAAAATTCACAACCTCAACTTTTTCTCCACCAAAACACACATCCTCAAGTCTACAACTGAAAAATAAATAATTTTCTTTCCTAGCTGTCAGAGATGACACATCTCTTTCTATTGTGGATGCAAAGCTCTGTTCAAGACAACTCCTGTGCTGTGTTGCATGGTGTAAATGTACCTTACACAGTAGAGTCAGATAGAGGAGTTATTTGTGACTTTTGCCTTACAATTCCCAGCTGGAATGCTGAACAGATCAACTCAAAATAAACAGTCCTTGAAATTTAACTAAAATTCAGCAAAACACCAACTGGTTAATGGAGTTGCACAATGTGACTCTTAGGCCTCCTGTGGTTTCTTATTCTCAGAGACTTCTCATCTGGCTTTCTACTTGTCCCTAACTTTTGGGAACTTATCATGTTTGGCCTTCTGTCAAGCTAGTTTGAAAGTGAGCCACATGGTCCAGAAGCTCTGGAGGATGATGACAGAGACATATGACAGGAATTTAGATATACATAAACCACATTTCTGCTAAAAATAGGTTAAAGGGCATAAAATAAAAAGTATAAAAAGTAGAAGATGTACAAGCATGCTGTTTCTAGTGTAAAGGGTACTAAAAGAACAAAAACATTGAATGAGAAGGTCTGGTCACTTCTACTCAAACAAGTGCCTGTGCTTTAACTGGGTCATATGTTCATAGTTAAATTTGTATAAGTAAATACCCAGGGACCTTGATTTTTTAAACAATGATATAAACACAATTATGTGGTGATGCTTAAAGCACACTCTGTTCCTAGGCTGCCCCAATGGTAGTTACAGGGTGCTCCAGACTGGCAGAAGATAATCACCATAGTTCACCTCGGGGGCCTGGTCCCTTCTCGATCCACAGTAGGGTTCCTGCACTGGCCCCTCTGTCCCCCAGCCCTTGGCTTGTGCCCCCATCAAAACCAAGATGTGGGAGATGTGATGGGGTGAGATGGACATGGGGTTTGGACAAATCACACTTCAGAACTAAAAGTTCACTGCCATGCCAGGTTCCCCATTTAGAAGGAAAGTGGAATTGCAAGCACACAGGCTACAGCAGAGATGGCATTTCTGTAGGCTCTCACTCTTATTCTGGATGATTTTGGCCTCTCCTTCTCTGTCTGTGTCTCCTGGTTGGCTGTAGTATTGTAGTACTGCAACTCTTCCAAGAACCCTCTCTTTGAGTACAACTGTAATCAAGCTTCTTATGTAAAGTCAACAAAGAAGTATTTGCTTTGTTGGATTTTTTTCCCAATTTGGAACTGTATATATGACTTTTTTTCCCCTCCTATTTCTTTCCAAAGATACTCCTTGGAAGGTGATGTGAGAAAATGGCTGAGAATTGATTCAGCCACTGGGCAGGTATATACTGCTTCCCCTTTGGATCGAGAAACAGAAGAAGTATACTCAATAGAGGTTGTTGTATCAGAGCTAAGTAAGTGATGGAACAACTAAATATACACACAAAGGAATCCCCTGTTACTTTTATGTAACTCTTACTCTTTTATGAGGAATTATCATACTAAATAAACCCTGACTAAACCCATGAAAAGTACTGGAACATTTAATCTTGGATATTTATCCTGTGGTGTATCCTTAGAAGTATATATTTCTTAAGAATTTAAATTTCTTGAAGAAATCTTGATGCTGTTGATAATGAGGATTAAAATAGCTTTCATGAAGTTGGATTATGGTCTTATATTTGCTTGAACCACATGACATATAGAGAAGATTAAAATTTTTTCACTGTTTTCAGTATCAATATTTTCTGTCACTTTTTTCTCTATAGCTATGAAGATTTTAGTCTTTGTCCTGGGTGTGGTTAGGTTTCCTGAAAACATACCCAGAGAGTAGTTTGAAACCTTCTACAGAATTTAATTTTATTATAATTAAAACTAATACTCTGTGAAGTCTGAAATATATTAGGACTTCTAGTTCCAGCCATTAAAATCTTTCAATTTTGGCTTGCATTTCCTGTATATAGAAGAGGGATGGGAAACTCAAGGCATTTCATGCTTAAGAGTGCTCCAAAGAGCACTGGTCACTTTGGATATGACTGCTTGCCAAATATGATGGATATGACAGGTTACTAGATATGATCTGCCTCCTTTCCCTTGCTAGTGTTCTGTAGCTAGCAAGAGCTGGTGGTAAATAAACAATGCTCGTTAAAAAGTAGTGGCAGCTACCACAAATCCCCCAAATGATCTCCTGAGACCTTGTTTCTGCCACCTTTAGACAGAACACCACCTTTCACTGCCTATCTGATGGTGTACCTCTGTGACAGCTGCAAATGCAACAGCCCAGAGTGTAAATCCAAGATGTGCATGTAACTTTGCATTCTGTTAAACTCAACAGATAATGCAGCTCAGAAATCCAAAGTGTTCTTGGTTCTACACTTACGTGATGTGAATGACAACTACCCACAAATAGCTACGGATTATCCTGCTTTCTTCTGCTACCCGGTCAGTGGAGGAGAGAGAACTCTCATTCAAGCTACTGATGCTGATGAACAGTTTTTTTATTCAAAATTTACTTTTTCCCTTGCGGATGAGCTGAATGCAAGAAATAATTGGGAAATCTCAAAATTCAATGGTAAGCTAATTCAGCCATTCTTACAATGATATGGGACTCACTTGGTACTCTGGTGAATATGAAGAATTATAGAATTCCTTTTCACGCTCATTATTGCATAACCAGTGTTCTGTGTAGAAAAAAAATTGGGTTGTTGAGAACACTAAAGTCATTAATTATTTTTGGCAAGAGGTAAACCCCAGTATGTTGCAAGCTGTAATTTCATGACTATTTTTGAGAGAAGAAGCATGTAAATATGAAATAGATGTATGTTTAACGAACACAAATCACTGCTGAAAAAGAAATAGAGCAGTTTGCAAACTGTACATTTCTGACATTTCATGTGCAAAAGGAAGTCCTGCCTCACAAAGTGAATGGAGCTTTTTGAAGGGGACAGTAAGGACATGAATAAATGCTTGGCTGATAGAGCCTGTCTGAATTAATAAAACATATTTGATGAATTGTCCCACTAGAGAAAGCTTGGTTGCCACAAATTTAAAGTTATGAAAGAATAAATGATAATTTAAAATTCAGGACTTGGAGTAAACAGTCAGCTCTCGCAGTGAAGGGAGTTCATGTGTGGTTTTCCAAAGGTTTTTTTGCTGGGATCTGCATAACTCAATACATATGGATGTGCAATGAGGAGGCAAAGTTTACTCATTATGCAAAGTTATTTGAGTAGGAACCAAGCGTGAAGTATTTCAGAACATACTTCCAAGACTGAGTTTGTTGAACAATAAAATTCACAGGTGCTAGTGAGCCCTGGACTCCCAAATTGACTTTTGAAATCATGGGTGCTGAGCTGGCTGTTATGAATCAGGAAGGAGAACTGTAAGCAGTTCCGTGGAAAAGTGAGATAAGCAGTATTCAGAAAAACAGGTCAAATATTGAGGATTACCAGGAAACAACCAGAAAAGAAACCTGAGGACATCGTTATGCCTCTGTATAAATCCATAATTCCTTCAAGCTTTGAACTCCAGTCTCTCTATCTCTGTCATAAAAATGCAGTATAACTGGAAACAGGCTTAGATAGGGTGACAAAGATAATCAGTTATAGAATGACCTGATATAAGGAAGTGTATACGAGCAGCAAAGTAAGCTACTGCTTTTAATCTTGGAAGACAGTAGGGAAAGAATGCAATAGAGAGATAAAAAATTATGAATGCTAAGGTCAGGGTGGCCAAGGATTCATCCTTTGCTCTCTCTTCCAGTGCACAAACTTGGGATCCCAAGTGAAGCTTATGGAGTTATTTACAGGGCAGATAGAATGAGGAGGTAGCTGACTTGGAAACTTGCTGTCTCAGGGTGTTGTCTATGCAGAAATTTTCTACAAGTTCAAAGCAAGAAATTACATCTTGCTCAAGAAGTCCCTGAGCTGAAAATGTTGAAAGGGTGAGAGGGAGGAGGAAATGAAATACCTGCTTGCTTTTTCATAGTAATCTCCATTTATTCTGGAGATAGGATACTTACATCAACAGACTTTGATCTCATCCCAATGGCTGTTATTACCTTTTCCAGTTTTCAGAGTCTTAGATGTGACAGTGTAAGTTCACTAGAAGGATGGCCAGTCCTACATTTCCTTGGGAACAATTTAAGCTGGTTGTGGTCTCTGTGAGTTTTGGGGACTATTTCTGGTCTAGATGGGATGCTATCAGTGTAGCACTACCAAGATCAGATTTGGCCTGGTGCAGAAATTAGGAGGGAAATTTTATAGTCACATTATGCTGAAGGCCAGACTAGGCTTCTAGATATTCCCTTTTTACTTAATGTCTGCAAACCAATGAGATCCTGGAAGACATTGAGGAAAACAGGAATTGCTATCATGTGCAAAGCAGTCTTAAAAAAAACCCCAAACACTTGCAGCTGGTATGAATGTTGAACTATCTTTCTTGTGCTGACATGAATGTCCCATTTCCTACTTACAGCTACTCATGCTTACCTGTCCCTGAAACATGCAAACTTTGAAGAGAAGGTGTATGATGTTCCAATAATACTTAATGACAATGGAAAACCGCCTTTGGAAAACAAAGTGAATCTTAAAGGTATTCTATGCACGGAACCATTACCTTCAAGACAGCAGTTACATTTACAAATAACCAAATGTGACTACTAAACTTCTCATTAACCTCATGGCATTTCCTTTTGCAGTAAGCATGTGCAAGTGTTCCAGTGAAAATTCATGTTTTATCGAAATAGACCGTCAGCACTCCTGGCCAACCGTTGGGCAGGCAATTGGGATTCTACTCGCGGTGCTAATCGTCATTGGTAAGTCACTTCTTCCTGGCTGATTTGAAGCCAGACCTCTGAGATGTGATGGTGCTGCTGCATTTCTGACACAAATTCACATCTTGGGTGAAGATTTGTCAAGCATGTTGCAGAATGAGTGAAAGAGGGAAGATCTCATCATTGTGTATCATGATGGCTGCAAACTTCTAGGATTTTGGTTGTAAGAAAAACATCCAATGGCACAACAACCAGCTAGGACAGAACAAACTGCTGATCTTGTAGCATAGTGTCATTTCATTGCTACTTACTGCCCTTTGCCTATCAGGGAGGGGATTTGAGTTTTGTCTTGGGCATCCAGATTGTAATGAAAATAGTGAAGCTTCCCACTTATGGTATCTGTACCATAAGTGGGAAGTAGTAGTTTATAGTCATCATTTTATTCTCCTATTTCAGCTTTGCAGGTTTACATATTTCATATTCATTCTAACACTGATAAAGAGGAAATAAATTTATATACAGTATAATGAGCTCATAATAATTGTAAAAGATCAAGTGATTATATATATATATATATATATGTATATATATATATATATGAGGGACTGCATTTCAAGACAAACATGATCATGACAAATCTCTGCTCAGCGGGAGGTGGGGCTAAAATAGACACTTTGCCATCTGGTCAGACCCTAGAGGAAAAGTTTTCCTTTGGGGGAAGGCCTCTGAGCCCCAAGGCATCTGATCCTGCCCAGCACTGCCTTGGGTCAATGCTCTTGGTTCCATGCTGCACAGTCCTTCCTCAAAGCTGCTTCTGTTCAAGAGGTAAAGCACTGTGGATATTACAGGGCAGTGTCATGGCCCTTGCTGGAACATCTTTTCAGAAAGTTTACTCTTCCCTTTATAGACAAACACTCTCTGTTTTTCAGGTGCCATTTTAGCGGGTGTGTTTTGCCACATGAGATACAAAGAGAAAAATGAAAAGAGCCATCCCAAAGATGCAAAAGATAATGCTGAACTCAACAGACTGACTTAATGACTGTTTCATCAAGAGACAGAACCACCCTTTGGGTGAATGAGAGAACTCTGAAGCTTCCAAAGCCCAGAGAGATACTACCACAAACATGATGAAAACATGTAAAAGTTGACTCCCAGAGGTTTGGCCTCACTTTTGTACATAATACTATTTAGTCACAAAATATAAAAGGTATGTAACCTTCACCAGCAGTTGTTTATAAGCTTATCAGCTTTGACTAAAGTGTTAACTCATGACAACACCAAATGCTGAGCTCCTTCAGAGATCTATACATGGGATCAGTCTCCTTCATCTGACAGCTGAAGTAAATATGGATTTTACAGAGGAGTACATTTTGTTGACCTGCACACACTTGTCTCTTTTCAATTCAGTAAGTCACTGAACAGCAGACTGGGGAATAGTCCTGTGCTACATTTGAAGATACCCCATGAAGTTGTAGGAATTTCTCTGACTCTCAGAAAAGGAGATCCCAAACTTATTGCAATCTGTAATCTGCCCTGGGTCGTGCCGGCTTACATGATACTGAATTTGTGCTATCAATGTGTTCTTCTATCAATTACAATTTTTCTTTTTTGATATCCCATGGAGTAAAACCAGTTTGTGAAGCACCATGGCCTTTCATTACAGTTTCCAAGTTAAAAAAACCCTTATGCCGAGTCATGTAGGTAATATGCTGTTTCATCATACTGCTGCAAATACTCCTCTTGCCCCCTACACATAAGATAAGAATAAAAATGTTCCTATAAGATTTTAGTCCCTGCTTATTTTATGAAATAAATAAAAAATGAGACAGTGCATGAGAGCAAACCATTGCTGCTTGGTTCTCTATTGTATTTAACCCTTACTTTCACTTAACACAGGTTAAAAATGGTTCTTAGGCCAGAGTGATATGTGTCCAGCTGATTCCAGATGCAATGATTTCTGGAGCCATGTCTATCCTTGTTACAGTAAAATGTATTTGAACGCAGGGTTATACTCAGAGAAAAAAGCCTTTCTCCTGACAGCATGCCTATAGAAGGGCATTTTTGGTGACAGTTTGAGGAAGGCTTTTCTTTTAAGCTATAAATAAAAGCTGACAAATATTGTGTTAAACTGAAAAGACAATATACTTTTGAAAACATTCAAGAAAAGGTCTTATGGAAAAGAGCATATTTGTTTACCCAGATTTTTTTTTTAATGGCTTTTGCATGTAACACAGAACTAGAAAGAAAAGAGCACTCTTTTGGTAGCATTGCATTTATAATAGGTTTTCCTAGAATGCTGCCAGCAAAAACTTTGCTTTTGGGCTTCAGCAACACAACCCAATTGTTGTACCTTTTGCCCCAGCTTCCCCAGCTGTTGGAGCTCTGTTATTTGCTAGGGGGCTCACTGCTGGAATGTATTTATTTTATGATGGGAATGTAATCCATTATATTTGGAAAGTATGACATTCAGTTACGTCAGTGTGTCCAGGGATTAAGATTAGTATATTGTTTTATAAATAAAGGAGCCAAAGATCAGCAGTCGTTGTACTTGTGTATACCAACATGGCTTTATCTGAACATGGGGAAAATGTGCAGAAGTTCCCCTTTGCTCTGTCTCCCTGACCTCTCTTTGTGTTTGCTAAGTTTATTCTAGTGCATCTCCTATTTTGAACAATTTCTTTTCTGGAGAGGAGTCAAAAAACTGCTTTACTCATTTACCCACATTCAGGACCTGCTGGTTTGACCTTTGTTTCTTGTGTCTCATGGGGTAATTCGCTGCACCCTCTCCCACCTGCCTGCAGACTGGTGGAAAGCCAAGCTCCTCAGACCAGCAAAAAAGCTCCCCCTCCTCAGGGTCTTAAACACATTTTCAGTCTTGAAGACTTTCAGTCTCTGTGCATTGGGGATCAGCCCTCCTGCAACTATTTACTAAATGTTGTTCACGTGTGGTAGGAGAGTCTGAAGGAAAGCCCCTTGGGGTGTTCCTTCTCTGGCATCTGCCCTGGGGTGTGGGGCTGAGCACACTTGCTGCTGCAATGGCCCCTTGACAGCGCACGCCTCTGCTGCAGCAGGGCACAGGCAGGGCCTGCAGCACCCTGACTGCCTCACCCCACCTCTGCCCCCTTCCCCAGCCCACTTGCCAAAAGCCTCTGTGCTCAAGGGATTTGGGATGTTCATGCTTGCAGGGGCATACCCAAGCAGTTCAGCTGCTGGCTGACCTGTGCCTGGGTAACCACTGCTTCTAAGTGTTTCTCATACTGTTCAAACTTAAATGAAATGAAATTAAAAAAAAATAAAAAAAAAAACCCAAACAAAAATCCCTATCATTTCCAACCCTGACACAAATATTCTCATTTTTTTCACCCTCTTTCTGCCTGCCTGCCAGAACTTCTCCTCCAACCCTCCAGGGTTTATTTAACCCAGTCCTGCTCTGGCTCCTTCTTTGGTTCAGTCTTTTTTGGGAGCCAGACAAAAGTTCTCACCCAGCCTTAACTCTCCCCCTGCGGCAGACTGCTGCCCCTGGCCTCCTTTCCAGAGGACAAATTCAGTTTTCTTTGGGTCTCTGGAGAGGAAGAGAAGCAATAGTTATTATTATTCCTTCCCACCATGCTTCCCAGCAACTCCAGCTGGTTCCCAGGTCCCTGCAGGAGTGGCAGACATTAGGACATTTTGCCCTTGTACGTTACACTTTTGCTCCGAGTTCAAGGATGAGCACTTCTTTTTGAGCTCCTCAAAATCTGGACACTGTCTGTTAGTCACTGCACCCTCCAAAGTTGTTTCATTGACACTTGTAATAACTGACAACATGAACTGCACTTTACATATAAAAGTGCAAAGCTGTGGACAGCATTGAAACAAGAATTTTCTACAGATTTAAAAAAAAAATTGTTCTCTGAAAGTTGGCTACATTATTGCTTTTTAAACGCCTTGAAATGTTGCCTTCTATTAATTCTAAATTTTTTTCCTGCTTGAATAATAGATATTGTATACTGGCATGACTTTCACACCGCAGGAATAACTAGGAAGTAATTAGTAAAACCTGAAGTGGTGCTTTAAATATATGATACTTACAAGAAAAGGATAGACATGCGAAAGCTCCATTGATTTACATCCACAAATTCTTAGAATAGCTTTATACATTGATAGGAGGACAAATTTTAAAAACAACATTGATGACTTTGGACTCCAGTTTTGCCAAGAATAATATCACACAAGAAGTCCAGTGATGAAATCTGCTGAGAGTATGTCCTCTGGCACTGCTCCTTTCCATGGCTCCTCCTCCAAGCATGCAGCATCTCATTAAAAGGTTTACAGATAGCAAAAGATGTTTCAGTGCTTTCTAATTCTTTTTTACAAGACTAGAGACTTATCAGGCTTTTGATTATCTCAAGGATTAATGGCATATATTAATTAAGCTGTCATTATGCCTCTTTTTCCACCCTTTGTAAATATAAACTTGAAAAGTAAGAACAAGATTTTTATCTGTGTTTGTAGAACAAATGCCACAGAACAGCAGCTTTGGGGGGGTGGGGAATGTGTCCTGATTCCATGTTTTGAAGGAGAGTTCATCAGCCCTCACATGATCAAACCTACAAGGCTGTACCACCACATGCAGCTACTGCTGTGCCTGTTAATGGGGATGAAGGTGAGGCAGCTGCTGGTGGCATAGGCATGGGTGGGCAGGGCTGTGTGCCAGGAGCACGGCTGGAGAGGCTGTGCCATGCAGCTGGCTGGAGCCACCGGCATGTCCCCCCATGCCTGGGGGACAGACTCCCCCCTAGATCTGGGGAATGCAGAGAGGAATGTGTTTTCACCCAAAAAATGGCTCTGCAGTGAGCTGTGCTGTTGGGGTAGGCAAGCGCCATGTGGAGGAGCAGAGAGGGAATTGAGGTGGGATTAGGAAACTGGCTGATAAAGAGCAACTGGTTTTGGCTGAAAGCAGATGGGTCCTCTCCCAATCCTTCTGTGTAGCAGCTAATCCTAAATGTACCTCTCTAGGAGTTTGAGAAGTCTTTCTTTTAAAATAAATAAACACATTTATTCGTAGTGTTATTTTCCACAGATTTGCCAGAACTGGGAGCTGAAATTAGCTAACTGCTTATACAAACTAGGGCAAGGAGCAGATGTAATCCACAGAGTTACCACTGCTTCTAGACACCAGAGATATTGCACTCAGTCTTTAAATGGGATTCCAATGCCATTCACCCACTCAGAGAAATTCTCCTTCCCTCTTGATTGACTTTAGGTCTTGAACAGAGGACTCAGAAATCTGCCACGCCAATTGCCAGACAAAGTCCCAGAGCTACAAGTCTGTGCCACAGCATGGGACCATCCTTTCAGTTTAAAATACTCTGTGATTCTGTGATCCTCTATGGACAGAGCTCAGAAAAATGAAGCCCCACATGCTGTGACCAAAGGGTTACAATGAGGTACATGAGCATCCATTAGTGCAGTAAAATACCCCAGAAACATTCAGCAAGATGGACAGCATGATCATGTTAAAGACCCTAAGCCAGGAAAAATGCTTCCAGTTTTTTGATTGCATATTCCAAAAGAAAAACAGAAGATTAGAGGCAAACCAGCTCTTTGAACTCATTGCTGGACAGCATGTTCCTCCACTGATAGTGAAAGACTGTACAGAACAGGGAGACAAACTGCTTGAGCCTGTTCTGTTTACAGCTTCGGGGCCAGAGATGGGTGATGGGTACAGCTGCAAAAAGATATTCTGCCACAGATGAGCTCAAGGGGAAGAAGTATCTTGTGTTTGCAGCTAAGAAGATGACAACTTTTATTGCCCACTTACGTCTGGTTATGACATCAGTTTCGAAAGTAGGGGTTAGGCAAGCACCATTTCACCATTCCTGAATGATTCCATAATGCTAATATGGTCAAGAAATGTGTTTCTACAGCCTTGTTTTCCAGTTCACTATTCCTCAGGACTAACATTAACATGAAAATCCTCTAAAGGAGGTGTAGATCTAGCACATGATTCCTGGCTCTCAGAACTGACCAAAAAGAAGGTGGAATATGGAGACC